CAGTTTCAAACTACCTTATATTACTTTATTACTATTACCTGACAGTCCATCGCCTCATCAACTTGGATTTCTTGAAGCCCTTTGTTTTACAATATTTTATTGAAGCACTCTACAATTAATGCCCTGTCTAGACCGGAGGATGATTTTACTTGTGGTTAATTTTTTTATTAATTATAAAAAATTATTTGTGGGTCAAACTATCCACTCCACAAGTAAGATCATTCACCGGTCTAAATTAGGCATAAATAAATGAAATTGTAAATTTTGCATCTCTCACAGAATTACCATAGCAAACGACTTTATGAGTCCTTTTAGTGACGTCTTACAAAAGATCCGTCATACGTCTGTACATCGTCTTTAGGTAATGTCTCAAAGACGTAATGAAAAAGACGACTACAGAACGTCGTTAAGACATGCATGTTGTGTTAGTTAAGGATTTCATTAGAGATTCTAAGGCAATAACCCGAGCGGACGGTAGTTGCGTGCACTGTGCTATGAGCGAAGACCTCAGCATCGCAGAGAAGACCGGACGCCGGGGAATCACCGAAGGAGTCACATGCCGGTGACAAAGCCGAAAAAAAGGTCACGTATCGCACCCCCGTTGCTTTCGCCATCTAAAACCTGTTTTCTAACAATGCCTTGCTTCCAACAGCAACGCCAAAGAGACGTAAACGGAAACGCATCAGAGGACCTCGCCCTGCTGCAGAAGGTGCAAAAGATCCCGGATTTAACGCCGTCAGAAAGAACGGAGCGGTTTGAGTAAGGCCCGGCCAGCCTGTCAAGCTTCCCTCCAAACATATCAGACTCTACCGATTTAATATCGACCGGCGAGCCAACGAGTTCTTGAAATTAACAGGAAGCAGGGGCGCTCTGTATTAACTATGGGCGGTTCTCAGAAGCCCTGTTAGAGTTTTGCGATCAATGTAAGTATCTCGTGTATGAAATAAGCAAGCCCTGCCGATTATGCGTTTCAATTATAGATTTATTATAAAAACACAAGTCAACGTTATACATGAGAGAGAGAATGGAAGTGACCACAGAACACACGCAAAAAGAAAGGAAGTACTATGGGCGGTATTCATAGTCCGTTCTTATATTCAAAATCGTCTTAAGCACGGACTTATATTCACTCTCTTTGTCACACATAGATTGTGTCTGACAAAGAGAGCGAATATAAGTTTGTACTTAAAACGATCTTGAATATAAGAACGGACTATGAATACCGGCCTATATGTGTGAACCATGTTACAAAAACCAACTTAACTATTAACGATACTACCAACCTTTCAAACTAAAACTTTACCATAGAAATCTAAATAACATGAGAGGTTACTCATACAAAAATGTCTATAATAATTGCAATATTCAACACTCCTCCTCAATTATTACAAATATATAAGCCACAGCCTTCTCGCAGTTCTTTTACTTTGGCTGCTCCCAGTGGCTTCGTCAACAGATCCGCAATCATGTTTTCGCTTGGACAGTATGAGCAGGAGATGTCACCTTTCTTCATGTGGTGTCGAATAAAGTGTCTTTTTGTGTCAATATGCTTAGTTCGATTTGACAGTCTTTCCTCTTCAATGAATTTCAGGCAACTCTGATTGTCCTCGTAGATAACTGTTGGTGTCTTGATATCGACGTTGAAATCCCGTAACAAGCGTCTCAACCATATTGCCTCCTGTCCAGCTTCGCAAAGCGATATGAACTCCGCTTCTGTAGACGAAAGCGCCACACATGGTTGTTTTCTACAACACCAGCTTACCGCTGCTCCAAAAACGAAGAAAATGTGACCGCTGTTTGACTTGCGGTCCTGTTTATTTTCTGCCCAATTGGCATCTGCGTACCCAATAAGTGGTGCATCTACGCTGACGCTACCAAGCTTCAGTTTAAAATTCATCGTGCCCTTTAAATACCTGACCACACGTTTAAGCTCATTCCAGTCTTGCTGCGTAGGTCCACTGACCTTTTGTGCTAAAATGCTTACGCTAGCAGATATATCTGGTCGCGAAATAACACTGACATATAGTAAACGGCCAATCAATTTTCGATATTTATCGGTATCTGGCAAAATATCAGACTCGTTTATATCTTTTCCATAATTGCTGTTCATTGGTACTTCTGAGATTTTAGCGTCAGTCAATGAAAAATCTGCAATTATCTCTTTAATATATGTTGATTGACTGATATTATATATTTCGTCTGCATCTTTAAAAATTTCAAGACCGAAATATTCTTTAATTGGGCCTAAATTTTCAATTTGAAATTTTGACTTCAATATTGACTCGACTTCTTTAATGAGTTTGTGTTTCCTGCTCACAATGATAATATCATCGACATAAACGAGAATATAGCACCAATCATTATTAAATTTCTTGCGATACATACAGGGATCTGCCTCACCTTGTAAAAATCCTGATGATGAAAGTGCTGCATGTAATGTCTGGTTCCAGGATCTGGCAGATTGTTTTAGACCATATAGACTTTTGTTTAGCCGACATACCGAATTGGGTTGATCTTCCGTTACGAATCCAGGAGGTTGCTTCATGTATATTGTTTCGTTTATAGTTCCATTTAGAAACGCTGTTTTGGCATCCATATGGTATATTTCCATATTATTTCTTGCTGCCAGTGAGAGTAACATGCGAAACGTTGAATGCTTCACGACTGGTGCAAAGACTTGGTCATAATCTTCACCATATTTCTGTGAATAACCTTGTGAGAGCAGTCGAGCCTTAAAGCGACGGATACTCCCATCCGCCTCACGCTTCACTTTGTAAATCCATTTGCAGCCAATTGCCTTCCTATCACGGGGTAATTCCGATAGCTCCCATGTCTGATTATCCTCTAGAGATGCCATCTCCTCCTGCATTGCTTTAATCCACTGATCCTTAAATGAACTAGTCACAGCCTCGTTGTAGCTCTTTGGCTCCTTTACTTCATCGTGAACGACATTTATTTCGTTTATCAGACGCTTGGGTGGTATG